TATATTTATATATATGTATGTATATAGTTTTTATATAGCCGCTGTACTTGTAACTCAAATGGAAACCACGCATCGAACTGAAGACAATTTTCTTGCATTTTGTGTTAGTTACTTTAATAATTGCGTAAATTCTTTATTTTTGTTTGTTTTGTAATTTAGAAATTGACTTTTCGCTTTTAAATATTTTGCAAATTGACTTTTTGAAGGCAGCTGCCAGCAAAGTAAAACAGCTGCATAATAATTGATTTATTGTATGTAGGTGAGTGTGTGTGTGTAGGTGTGTGCGTATATTAATGTATGTACATGAATGTCATATACATAATGCCATACAATCTTTATAAAATGTATAATGTACTAATGTGTATATATATATGTATGTATATGTATATAAATCATTGCATAATAAACGCATTTACTTTTTAGCTCTCGCTTCTTTCTTTCGCTCTCTGTCTTTCATTTGTATAATAATAATAATAATAATAATTATAATAATCATCATCATAATAGTTGCGTTTATGTATATAATATTAGTTTGGTTTCTCATCAATATGCAATGCAATAAATATACATAAGTATGTATAAATATGTATGTGTGTGTGTGTGAGTGTAAATGTCTGTATGTATATAAGTCCGCGAGTGTGTTTGTGTCTGCGTTTATATATCTTGTTATTAATACTCGTTCACAAGATGAAAAGAGAGTATATTGGCTTCATACAAAGTCTCATCTGTTCGTCCTTCTCTATGAATTTAAAACATTTCACTATTAGTTAGGGACATTCAATATACACTCATCTATATCAGCTATAGCTCAATATCATGTATATATAGGAAAAATCATTACCAAATAGAATACTTCAATTTTTTTTTTTTAATTCTGAAACGTGAACGAGTATTAGGCAGTCGGCTATGCTACGACTGCAGTGTACTTAGCTTGTTTTTATATTTATTTTCATGTGTTTCTTTTGTAAGTTCTAGGTACAGAATTCTTGCTGGCTCACTAAGGTGCTTAGTTACTTATAAATGTAGCTGTATATTTTCGTTGCCTCTGCTTCTTCTTCTTCTTCTTGTTAATAATAATTAATTTGCAAACTCTACTTTTCGCTACAATGGCTACGCTTGGGGTGTGTGTGTGTCTGTGTTTGGTTGTGTGTGTGCACTAAGTTAAAAATTATTTATTTCTACGCTACTTCAACTATGTTTCATGTGAGTGTGTGTCTGTGTAAGTATTGCTTCTTTATGCACCTTTTATTTATGCAATAAAAATAAACATAATTTGAATTGTTTTCTCTGTTTTTTGTTTTTTTTTTGTTTTTTTTTTTCATTCATATTTGTTCGTTGTATAAAGTACATCAATTGGTCTCGTCAAAAGCAGCAGCACAAAATGTTGCAATAACAAATATGCCAAGAAAATAAATCATATATCAATATATATGTATATTGGTAACTAATAATTGTTAATCAATTCATTTTGCAGCTACATTCAAAAATTGCTACGAGCTTATTTCATTTAGGTATTTATTTTGGTAAACTAAAAGCTAAATTTTGTTCTCATATATATTAGTGTGTATATATATATATGTATGTATATATACAGCTCTATATGCATGCTTTCGAGTATGTATATTAGTATTTCATTAATAATTTGTCGGTTTTCGCTTGACTTAATGCATTAGTTTAACGATTTCCCATTGCTTATCTCATTGATACATGCGCTAATAATACTTGTTTTCGGTTTTGCCTTAATACGTAATGCTCTATTGCTCGTTGCTCATTGTTCATTGTTCATTGTTTGCTTTAGTTTATTATTGCTGTTGCGCTTCGTTGTTGTTGTTGCTCTCTTTCTTGTTTACCATATACAATAGGTTTGTAAATAAGTTGTTTTCTTTAATCATATATCGAAGTATTAAGTCTTTTATTTGGTTTGTTTGTTGTTTTTATTCCATTTTTTGGTGTTTTTATTTTTTTTTTATTTTATATTTTTTCATTTTCTTTTGAAAACTATTTGTGTTAACGTGCTAAGTCTTTCTTTTTTTTGTTTAAACATTGCTTTGTTGTTGCTGTTCATAATTTAATTTATACAAAGTTTTTACTACGTTGTTAGCTTTAAAAAAAAAAAAAATGCTAATAATAATAATGTTCTATATACAAAAGCCAGCAAATTAAAATTTTGTAAACAATTTTAACCGAGAGGAAAAATGGAGGAGGGGTCTGTGCTTTAAGAGTTCTTTTTTTTTTTTTTTTTTCATTGTTACTTTTTATGAGTTTTTCCTTCATTTGGCGCTGACCTAACGAGCGCTCGTTAAAAAAGAACAACAATGTTAGAAAAAGATATATAGACAGAGACAGTAGAGTATAGCAACAGATAATGGAGAAGAATGAATCATGAATGCTAATGCTAATGCTAACCAAAATACTGCATTCAACAATTTTTTTTTTGCTTTTCAAAATTTTTAAAGTTGCGCTGGTATACAAAAACTATTTTCATATATATATAAATGTAATCAACTTTAACAATTTATTTGCTTTTTATTTTTCTCATTTAACAATATATGCCTTGATCCTTATTTGTAAAAGAAAACCTATAACATGTGCGTGTATGTGTGTGGTTCAAAATCGATTAAACCCAAAATTGAAAACCATAAGAACGGGCACAATTTTTGAAAACAAAAATGTAACCGCCGATTTAGTTGGAGTAAAGCTTTTCCAAATATCATATATATACATATGATATATATCTCATCTATATAGTTGTATATATATATATGTATGTATATATGCTAATGTACTACGTGTTGCGTTTGGTTATATTAAAAATTTCAAAATTTGAAAATTTCAAAATATGCATTAGGGTTATTCCCCCACTCAATTTATATGTATATATAATATATTTTTACAACTACCTTTTATTGCTTCTCGATACACGTTATGTAGTATTTTTTGTGGTTTTGTTTTGTTTTTCTCTTCCTGGAGCTCATATATTTGTTGAGCAAAATTAATCAGCTTTTTGAATTAGTGTGTGTGTGTGTGTATGTGTGTGTGGGAATATCACAACATTCGAATTGCTTTGCCTATTGACCTGCTCTCAACACAAATAATTGCCACAGGGTATCTATATATATTTAAGAACACTTTTTCAGCTTGAGTTAAGCAAAGAGTCCAGTTGGAAAATCATAAAAGAAAATATTCAAAGAAAATGAAAATAAAAAACCATTTTTGTTTTGTTTCTTGTTGTATTGTGTAAGTATTTATGTATACATATATATGTATATGTATTGTATATTTAAAACATTATAATTGTTTTTGTTTTGTTTTGTTTTGTTTAAATACAAGTGTGCTGTCTTCGCTAATTTTAAATAGTTTCAACCTTAGATTTACTTAAACTCTAATAAATTGATTAACCGTTAATTTTATTGCTTTCATTCACATAATTAATTATGCATTTAAGTTGTTTTTGTTTTCTTTTTTTCATTTTTGTTGCTGTTTACATTGTTATACAAATTTGTAATATTATTGCCGGGCTTTAATTAAACATGTTTCGCCTTTTGTAAATCTTAATTTAACTTTAAGCGTACAAATAAAATTAAAAACAAAAAAAATCAATAAATAAAACAAATACCAAATATTCAAATAAAATCAACACTGGCCAGCAAGGTTTTCGGTAACCATAAAAAATATTTGACTAAGCTTTTTCAAAGCGCTGAATAGGAATCTTGGATGGAATGTAGAAGTCTCAGAAAAAATAAATATATATTATAAAAATTGTATTTTTTTCGTTGCATATATTTAAGCAGGAATATTATAAATCTTATAGTTTGTTGTTTTCATATTTTAAAGTAAAAATCTGCAAGATCCCATTTCAAGCTCTTGCTTCTTGGTTACTGCACTTCAACAAGTTTTGTGTTGGCCAGTGTAATTCTTGGTAACTATGGCTATTAAGTAGCTTCTCGCTATTTGTTTAACTTTAATGCATTTCGCATTTTGCCTTTTAGTTATAATTGAATATTTGTTGTTCGCCTTTTTTGTTTTTCTTTGATTTTGTTGTTGTTGAGTATTGCTTTGGTACTTTAGCCGATTTCGATATCGATATCGTTATCGTTATCGATTATTGCATAAAAGTGTTCCGCATGGGGACATGGGGAAACTCTTCTTAGCGCCTACGTTGTTAACAGTATAAAAATAATTTTGTGATGATTATACTTACTAGGTTAACTTAGGCGTACATGTATACTAGGTCTAAAATATTTATGTATATATTTTATGCATGTGTATATATAATTGTAAATATTACGCAGCTACATACGTATGTTCTAATGTTTGTATATAACTATATATATGTATGTATATATAGATTCCTTTTCGCTCGCTTAGACATACCAACAACTGGGTTTCGTTTTTGTTTTGGTTTTGGTTTTCATTTGGTTTTTGACTGAGTTTCGATCAAAACTTTTTGCTACTCTTTAGACTAAGTACTCTACGACAAAGTTCGTTGCACTTTTGTTGTTGTTGTTTTTTGAGATCGGTCGCTGAAGCTGATTTCAGTTGAGTGATATATTATAGATGTCTATATGGTAGATTAGGTTTAAATACTATTTACATATTTTTGCTTTTGTGCTGGGGTGTAATTGCGTATAAATGAACATATGAGCTACATAATATAAATATAGATGTAAGTAATATCGTACTAGGTAAGTTGTATTTCGAAGAGTGCAAAAGTATTTTCTTTGTTTCTTTCATTGTTTGTTGTTTTTCTTTACGCATGGACGAAGTGTACTGTTAAATGCTTGAGACTAGATCACACTCGATATTCATATAGATTTTCTTCATCTGGCTTTTGTTGTTCTTGTTTTTGTTTTCTCTCGTTCTGTGAGGGGCGATCGAATACGGATTTGAGTAACTATATGGGTATACATAGGCTACAGCAAATCATGTTTGGTCTTATCGTTTCTTGTTTTGGTCACTGATAGAAACACTGGAACTTTTTTAGGGCGCCCTTTAGAGTGGTGTATGATACCGACAGGATTTTATGGAACGGTCAGAAAAAGTTCTCAGATTCGTAGCTATACCCAATCTTCAACTTTTTTTTCATATCATATTTCTCTTTTGGCGAACTCAGTGTACTGTTAATTGGACCACAACAGAATGCAATGCTCTAAAACTAAAAACTGGTATTTAAGCGGAAATGTATTGAAACTTTGCCTTCGTAAAAAATTAGAAAAAATTTGCTGTTAGACAGCGACTAGAAATTTTTTTGTTCTATCTTTTTATATTCTCTTTATAAATATATACATATATAATTATTATTATTTGGTTTTGAATTGCCTGGAATGCTAATTGACTATATGGCTAAACGCAAATTAGTTGCCCAAATCTCATCGTATTTTTTTCAGTTAACCCCTTTGCTTCTTCTTCTATTTCCCATGTAACTCTAGCCTTTAAAATCATAAGAAAACTCAAACAAAATCCGAAATTTTCTTATGTGCCAATAATATGCAGATGTTTTATAATATACGATATATCGTATAATGTCGTATATCGTATATCGTAATATTGCTTTGCGTTCTCATTTTGATTAAACTTGTTTTCGAATTAAAATGCTTCCTTTACGTGCTTAAATGTTGCTATGTGACTTAGTTATATAAAATGATGTGAAAAATATGGAGCTGAATTTTGTTTTAGTTTTAGTTTAAGTATTTTTTCATTTTGTTTTTGTTTATCGTCTACTCTCTGGCGCTACTATATACTGCTTATAGATAGACTGCCCTTAGGATCTAATTCGTTGTTTGAGAAACATTGCATTTGCTTTTCGTATTCGTTGCATTAAATTTGTTTTAATCACTTCGTCTTCGATTAAAGATTAAAGAGAATTTTCTTGGTATTTTTGGTTAGGATATAGAGTTTTAGAGCTTAGAGTTTTAGATTTTAGAGTTTAGAGTTTAGGGAGTAGAGCTAGAGACTACAAGTTTTTTGATAGCTACAGGTTATAGTACACCATTTGTATATATGTATGTGTATGTATGTGTGTGTGTGTGTGTTTATATATATTTTTGTTTAGATAGTTATAGAGAGAGATACATATATATACATATACATATACATATGTATATATGCATGTATGTATGTATATATAGATATAGAATTGCTCAAGTTCTCAGGTTTTAAGTTTTTGCAATTACTGCAAAAGGCTTTCTGTGTGTGTATGGGTATCAGAAGTTCAGCTTCTTCTTAAGTTTTCAATTATTCATTCATTTTGTTTTTGTTTGTTTTTTTTTTTTTTTTTTGTTTTTTTTTTTTTTATTCGTTTTTTAACTCGCTTAAGACTAAAAGAAGAACGAGATTAGGTTTACGCTAAGTGTATTTAGTTATCATTTTTCTTTCATTATGTTTTTTTTTTTTTTTTTTTTAATGGTTTTCTAATGCGAATTTCTACAGTCTCTGTGTTACTCTACTACACTTGCTTTTGGACGTATTGTGATCGTATTCTTTATATATATATATAGTTGTATATATAAAAACTGCTATCGATAACTGACTTTCAACATTAACGATCAATTAACAAGGGCATTGCTTTTACTTTGTTTTTTTTTTTTTGTTTGTTTTTGTTTTGGGTTTGTTGTTTTTGTGTTCTTTTGTTTTTGTTTTTTTTTTTTTTCTGTTTTTTGGCAATGGCACACTTACTCAACATTTAGATGGCATAGGTGATGCCAACACCTGCCACTCCGACAGGTGCCTCCACCTTGACCCGTTCGAGGAACTCGTGCGGAGGCGAGGCCAAGCTGGCGCCACTCTCGCTGTTGCTATCGGTGTGGCCATGCAACGACATGGCCATCATGAGCTCCTCCTCGTCCTTGAGGCAGGCCGATTCCAGATGCTTGTTTAGGTACGATTTCAATGCGAATGTCTTATGGCAGCGCTTGCACTCGAAATTCTTGTCCACCGAATGCGTCTGCATGTGAGCTCGCAGATTGGAGCGATCGGCAAAGGCTTTGCCGCAATGCGCACAACCGTAGGGCTTCTCACCTGTGTGGGAGCGCAGGTGGCCCTGCAGCAGCCACGGCCGTGAGAAGAGTTTGCCGCAAACGCCGCAGCTGTGGGAGAGCTTGTGCGTGAGCACGTGCATGGCCAGGGCGGGCATCGAGACGTAGGCCTTGCCGCAGGTGTGGCACTTTTTAGCTGACTGCGAGTCGAGGGAGCGATGCGTCTGCTTGTGGCGCGACAGATTGCTGGAGGTGGCGTACTGCTTGCCACACTCGGAGCAGGTGTACTTGGTTTTCTGCTGATCCTGGACAACGACGGCGGCTGGATCGGCCACATGCTTGCGCTTCGACCGTCCGTCGCTCACAAAGAAGGCCTCGTAGGTGTAGGCAACGGTTTTCGCTGCCTGACCGGTCGCATCGCCATCGGCGTCTGTGTCTGGCTCGGCATGGCAGTCCAGTCCCAATCCCAATCCCAAGCCCAGGCCCAGGCCATGGCCGCTGTGCAGCTGATTGGTTGTGTTGCTGTTCTCGTTCTGCACATTGCTGCTGCTGCTGTGATTGCTGCTGGTGCTGCTGTGTATGCTGCTGCTGGCACTGGAAGCATTGCTCAAGGGTCGCTGCTCATTCACCACGCTGGCTGCGGCAGCGAGCTCGGCAATTGTTGATGTGGTGCGCAAGTGTTGCTGCTGCAGCGGCAGTGCCAGCGGCAACAGTTGCTGCTGTGGCTCATGCTGCAGTTGCAGCTGCTGTGGCTCATGTTGCTGCTGTTGCTGTTGCTGCTGCGGCTGCTGCTGCTGCTGCTGCTGCAGCTGATGTGGCTGCGTGGGCGGATGAAAGGCTGTCGAGGCACTCAGATCGAGTATGGCGTGAGCTGCATGCAAATCCTCCTCGGCTGGCACACGCCGGCGATAGCCATGCGTGGGCTTGTCGTCCAGCGAGTAGGGCCTGTAGATGTCCTTCTTCTTTGGCGGCAGCGACAGTGTGGCACCTGTGCTGCTGAAGCACTTGCGCTCGCTGCTCGTCTGGCCAGATTCCATCTTAATGTGCAACATGCCCGGACTAAATCTATCGCCATTTGGCGAGCACGAAGGCGACGATGTGGTTGACGATGGCGGTGTTTGATAGGCAGCCAAATGTTGTTGTTGCTGCTGCTGTTGTTGTTGCTCACCTGAGTGGTTGCTGCTGCTGTTGGCTGCTGCTGCCACAAGCGCTGTCGCTGCTGCCCGTATGACCGTTATTTCGCTCTCCATGCGAGGCAGGTACGCGGTGTAATGCAGCGGCGACAACTCACGTATGTAGCCTGCAAAGGGAGCGAGAGAAGAGGCCGAGATAAGGTGAGAACTTGAGTTGGATGAAATATGTTGATGTTGATGTTAAATAATTGTTGCATACGCTAAGGGCTTGGGGCAGCCATGGAAATACGTATATGTCATGGTAAAAGAGGGAGGAAGGGTAGTTGGATTTAACGTGTTGCAGCTGCCAAGCAAGTGTTGCATATTTAAAGGGATGTTGGACGTGGCCAAGAGGAAGTTTTATTGAATTCGTTGGAAAACTTTTAGGCGTTCAATAACAGGATTTGAAGGAAACTTAAAATATATATGATTTGTGTAAGATAGATGGTAGAAGATTAAAAGTGAAAGAATGTAAGTATATAGTTTGGTTATAGAAAAATCTTATGAAAAAGCTTGAATTTGTTTAATTAATTAATTAAGTTTAAGACTCMTGAGGTAATGTAAGGGCAGATTGATAACATATACTAATTTTAAAAAATCTCTGAAAATTTTATATGAATTATTTTGACTTAAGTTGATTTACTAGATGCTCTTAACACATTTATTATTTTCATTATCTATATTCATTACATTATATACATTCAATATCTATGCAAAATATATATTTCTCATCATTTCTCATCAGCTCATAAGTTAGATTATAAATGAAACCCAGATTTCTATTCATATAAATTCTAAGCAAATAGAATTTGAATAATTTTAATATGTGTAATGTGTTTCAAAAATACAGTCTATATTTAATATATTAACTATATCAACTAACAACTATTCAATTAAATCTTAAATCATATTTGAAATGCCTTTCATCACTTACCGTTGTAGACATTGGTTGCGCCACGTGTCGCTGCCTCCGGCGAATGGGGCGGCGGACTTGGAGCTGTGGTGCCTGCCGTTGGGGAGCTGGGGCCCCAGCACTTGGCCGTAGTTGTTGCAGTAGTTGTTGATGTGGCTGTTGCTGTTGTGCTGTTGTTGCTGTTGTTTGTTGCTTCTGTTGCTGCTGTGGCGGTTGCTGTTGCTGTTGTGCGTTGCTTGTCGGATTTGGTCAATAGCTTGTCGCCCACAACATCGATCTCTTCGTCATCGTCCATGGTGGAGCGACGCGACTTCAGATTGGGCAATGGGGATAGTTGCTCCTCCCGTGGAGTTGTTGCTGTTGGTGTGTTGTTGGCATTATCCTCGCTGTTGCGATCCAGCCAAGGATATGCCTTCCATTTCTTGGCAATTAGGCAGCGCGGCATTTTGAGTAAAGTTTAGTTGAGTTGAGTTGAGTTGAGTTGATTGATTGAGTCGAGTTGAGTTGATTGAGTGATTGAGCGTTGTTTTTGGTGTTTTTCCTTTTAGATTTAGAGGCAAGTTTAGTGTTAAGTGCTGAAGCGAGTGTTTTGTTTCGTACGAGCAAAGACCTTCGTAGTGGGTATTTGGTTTTGGTGGCAAAAGCGGAAAGGAAAATTGTTGCTGTTCCTATTTCGCATGTGAAAAATATATATATTTATATAGATTGGCTCGCCGAAATGAATAGAGTTTGTTTTTACAGTTGTCTTAAATAGAGTTTCGCATAGTTGCGCCTCCCTTTCCTTCTCTCTCTCTCTCTCTCTCTCTTTGGGTCTCCTTTATTAAATCATATTTCAATATTTTATATTGCTTTTTATTGTTTCACATATGTAGGTCCATATATACATAAATGTTGTTGATAAATTGGTTTGTGGTTCAGTTTGGGGTCTTCGATTCGGTTTCTGGTTTTTGGTTAGGATACTTCGAATTTCACAGCCACTTTACACATTTCTGCGCTTTTATTTGAAGCTCTCCGAACGGCAGAGAGTTTATAGTTCTCAACTTTTTCTTTTTTGGTCAAGTTTTCGGGTTTTTGTGTGTGTTATTTTTTTGGGGCTTTGCGTTTGCGTTGGCTGCGTGTGGTTTATCGATTTTTACATTTGCGTTTACGTTTACGTTTACGTTTTTTTTTTGTTTTTTACACAACGAGGGAGAGGGGGTCTTAAAACATAACGGTTCGGTCAACTGTTAGGGGTTTACATGGGTAATTGTATTGCTCCATATATAATATACAGATATCCTTTGGCTTTTCAGTAAGTTGTTGTTGTTGTTATTGCTTGTTGATTTATTTATGTTTTGTTAAACAATTTTCGAAGCAAAATATTAATGTTGTTGCCGAACAAAACGAAATTTTGATATTTGTTTATAGTTTTTAGTTGTAGTTGTAGTTCATAGTTTTTATAAAACAGAGAAAGTATAGACGTTAAAAGTTGTAAAAGTTTAGATTAGTTGACACGAGTTGTTGTTGTTGTTTGTTGGTTGTTGTGAAAAGTTGAGTTGAGTTGTTGTTGTAATTATTATTGTTGTTGGTAGAGTGAAAAAATTGATTTAGGAGAAAATATAATATTATATAAGATAGAGAAGAAATGCGAACGAACCGAACGTAAGCAACTCTTGAATGCTTATGAGAATAGAACTGAACGAAACGTTGCTTATAAGGGTTGCCGAACGAAATCGAAACGAAGAGAGCGTAGCGAAACGGAACGTCCTGGCATAGCCATGGAACAGCCCCTAAACAACCCCCAAACAACAACCACAAAAAGCAACAAAAAAACACACACAGAGCGAAAAGCAACAACGTCGCTGGCGTAGCTGTTGCGTGTCTTTTAGGGCAGCTGCACACGTACCAAAGGGGAAGGGCCTTCAAATGTTTGCAACTTCATTTATTTAATTAAAATTATTTTAATACTATTTTAATTCAAAGAAAATAAATAAAAAATGAAAATTAATTGTAATTTTTGGAATAATTAATTATTGATCATGTCTGAACGTGTATGGGGCTCCAGCAATAAGGAAATGTGTTCCATTTTACCATTTCGTTCCACTTCGCCTTTTTCCTCCAATTGTTGCGTCGTCCCTCTCTCTCTCTCGCTCACGCTCCGTGGCTCTGTCTCTCTGTCTCTCTGTCTTCGGCACGGCTCGTACCTGAATTGTGGAATTGGCTCATGGCTCCTTTTTTGTTATTGAACAAAAATATATTTTTGGGGGTGGATTTTTGCAACAGCGTCTCCTTTCGTATGTGGCAGTTGTGCCGAGTTAATTGCTCTTGCTGTTGCATTGCATTTGTTGCTGAACTTTGATTTTGAACAAATTGCCAAAAATGACGGGCGACCGAAGAGAGTGGCGCAGAGCAGAGCAGAGCGGCGCGAAGAGTGGGTGATGGGAGGGGGGGGGGGGGCGGTTGGTTGTTGAGAGGGTCGATAGGTTAGTGGGGTGGCAGGGGCGAGGTGTAGCAGCAACAGTCGTTGGATTGTGGCATTGTTGATTGCTAGCAGCCGTAGCAGCAGCAGCAGCAGCAGCAATAGTAGATGTGGCAAACGGAAGAGGTAACGGGCGGCAAGCGGGGCAGGCCGCTGATAGTGGGTGGGGTTACTCGCTGGCAATACATTAAAGCATTCCTATTTGGGCGTTGGGTTTTTTGGTATATCAAAGGTCAGGATATGTTTGAAAATTTACGATTTCCCTCAAGCTCGAGTTCAAAGTTAAATTAAAAATATATGAGCAATGTATATATAGACATATATGTATAGACTGTTATATATAGCCTCGTTCTATGTACGATGGAAAGTATCGTTGTAAGCTTTTAATAAATATTAATGGAATTGCCAGTCGTAATTGGGTTGTTGACTATAAAAAGTCTATGTGTATTTCTATGATTTGTCGGCATTTGTAGCTCTAATATAAGGCAGACGAAACTTTTGTTCAGTTTAAAGAGTTGTGACATTGTTATATTAAATGAATATAATACAATTACGGTAGTCATTTAACATATAAGTTAATTAAATCAAAATAACATCATTATACAATACTAGATGAATAATGAAACATTAAAATATTGTATTAAATATACAAAACTATAATTATTAATAAATAATTTTTATTTTTTATGTAGCATCTCTATAATTCAAGAATATATATTTATATACATATTAGACTCTCCTGTCTTGCTGCCCTTACTCTTTCAGCACGAGACTTGGATAATTAATAAGGACGTAAAGTGCCGAAAAAAGAAAGAGAGCAAAATTAAGAGAAACTTTTATTTCCTGCTCTGCTCAACTGTCGCTGCGAATGAGCTTAGCAGGCGAAAAATATGATTTATTCAATTAACATTTTTGTATTTGATTTATTTTTTCTGCCCCTGCGTGGAGCTGCTTAAAAGTGTTTCAACATTTTCGAAAACATTTGACTCGTTCAAAGGAAATAACATATCGCAGCTTATTTGACAGATGGAAACCCTTTTTTTATATGGCCTCTTGAGTATGGGACTATTAAGCATTTCTTGTTGTTTGTTGAAAAAATTGAAAAAAAAAATGCCAAGAAATGCCAATCCATCTAGCTGTCAGACCCTAAGGACCTCTTAGCATATACAACATACCATATATTCCTTGAAATGTAACGTACAGACCATCTGTGGAATTTTCGTTGCACTAATTACAATTGGGCACCTCGATGGAAGCCCTAAATATGCCACCAAGTACCAAGTCCTCTTAGTGAAACCCATGAAGCACATTGTAAACTCCCTCTTTCGCTCCCTCCCTCTCCCTCTCTCGCTCGCTTTCTCTTTCTCGTCGTCCTGCTCTAAATTGTAATCTGCTTTTCCAGCCAAGAGCTGAGGCAAGCTTGCCGGCGACCCTTTGCGACGCCAAAGTTGTTGCGCTTCGCTAGCCGCTTTAGGGGGTGGCAACTGTATGGAAATTGAAAATGGCTATGAAAATATGATCGCGGATCGTTGAGCGAGGCACGCGCAGCCGCAGATGCACTGAGGCGAGCAGCCATATGGTAGTCGGCTGGGCTGGGTAGGAGCCACGCGTCACGACAGGAAACCAAATTATGCAGCCGACGCAAAGCGAGATTCGTTCACCTGGAACAAGGAGCAAGAAGCAAGGCGCACGGCAGCGTACTACACAGGACAATATGGTTACAGCTTTTCCTGTTTCCAAAGCGTTATTAGCGTTAGTTTAGGGGTAAAATACACTTATACAAAAGGTGCAATCTAGCGCCCAAACATACAGACTACGAGCGGGGATCCAGTTGAGCGCGTTTGCGAGCGTGCAAAAAACAGGAAATGCTCTACAAGTGCAGCTGCCCAAAAGACTGGCCCAAAGGACACCCCACACTCCGCCGGTGGGTGGGCGTTGCGCCTGCAGAAATTTGTCAGCTTGCCAAATACTTTTGTTGTTGTTGCTGCTGCTGCTGCTGTTGCTTGTGCCTTTGGCGTTGCCTAGCGAAATAGAACGAGCTGCCAGACCCCCGCTCACCCCTTAACATGAGTCAACATGGCATATTGTTTTTGTGCAAATGTATGTAACAGGCAGTACAAGGCTCAGCTGACCCTATAAAGTATCTATGTATATTATATATTCTTAGTCAGCATAACTAAGATATGGCGATTCAGCAATGTTTTGCGTGTCTGTTTGAATATGTGTGATACGAATATCCTATAAGTGCTAGAGATTTGATAAATAATAGTAATCTTTTTTGGTTGTCTAATCCGTTATAGAACTTTAGTTATTTAAGCATATTTGAAAGGATTTAGAAACTAGAGCTGATACATATATATATAGACCATTTTCTAATATGTACAGAATAAAAGTAGTCGTCATTCAATACTAGTTTTAACTGCGAGTAAGTTGAATTTACACAGTTTGGGTTAAAATAACCCTCTCTATCACGTTTATATTTATTTCTCAATAATATTATCAAATTTGAATCAATCTAAAGAATGAACCTATATAGTTTCAGCTTTGATAATGTAATGTCATTCTGTATCTAATATGTGATATACAGTAATATATATTTTCTATGTATAAGTAAATATTAAACTAATCTCAAATATGGTCCAGGATAGCTGCTAGTCGAGCAGTCTCTATTAGAGTGCACTCACACTCCTTTTTTGGCCACTAAAATGCCGCATTCACGTATCGAAGCGAAGTGTGACGCTCGCTTGTGGCACGGGCCACGGAAGTGGCAGCTGTAACAGAAATAGAAACAGCAACAGCAACAGAGGCAGACAGAGCAGAAAGAGAGAGAGAGAGAAAAAGGAACTGTTGATCCTGCTGCTGCTGCTGCTGTTGCTGCGCCCATTGTAAAGGGTACCAGGTGTTTGGCATGCTCTTTCTGTTTTCCTTTCAATGATGTATTAAAGTGGAAACAAGCACGAGCTGTATCTCTCTCTCTCTCTCTCCCTCCGCCCCTGTCTGCCGTCGCTCTGATTCTCTCTTTTTCTCTCCACTTTGGCTGTCTGTCTGGCGGTTTGAGTTTTTCCCAAATGCTATTTGTTCCTGTTTCTGCTATAATTTCATTGTTACTCCTTTTTGAACTGCTTTGCAACCACCCCATCAGCGTTATCATCATCATCATCGTCAGCAACAGCAACGGCAACATCATTATCATCGCCATCAGCAACAGCAGCAACAGCGGCAACAGCGGCAACAGCGACAGCAGCAACACCACCCAGCAATCAACCCCCTCGCAGCGTTTGCCATTTGGCGTCTACATAGAAACAGCAAACAGGTAAAACAACAACAACATCAGCAACAACTACAGCAACAACTACAACATCGACTACAACAACAAGTACAACAACAATTGCAGCAGCAACATTTCGTGTGCCTGTTTCAGTAGCAATAAAAACAGCAGGAATAAAAATCTAACAAAAAATATGAATGTTCCAATTGGGTGGAACCGACTAGTAGTTATCCTGCTAGATACTAGATACTAGATACTAGATACTAGATACTAGATACTAGATACTAGATACTAGATACTAGTTACTAGATACTAGATACTAGATACTAGATACTAGATGCTAGATACTAGATACTAGATACTAGATACTAGATACTAGATACTAGATACTAGATACTAGATACTAGATACTAGATACTAGATACTAGATACTAGATACTAGATACTAGATACTAGATACTAGATACTAAACACTAGATACAATTTGATATCCGTTAGCTATCCCTATATAAGCTTGATTAGCTTTAGCGAAACTCTCAGCAAACCCATTATACCCAATTTATCAGTTTTTGAAGGGGCATAAAA